TATATATATATATATATATATATATATATAGTTATTTTTTTAAAGACTACTTATTTTTCTCTCTTATTCATAGTAAATTGTATGCAATCTTCAAATATTTTATCTGATATGTTATCTGTATATCTGAACATAGATTCTTGAAGACTTGGATGAGCAGATATATATTATTACTCTAGAAGAAGAAGCTATAATGAGAAGACTAAATGGTAAGTATGTTTAATACAGCCTGGCTTTTATACTATTGCATTTAGGTGTGATGAACATTATGCTCCAACATTTACAGAGGATGCTAGTTTCCGAAATCCTGAACACCATAAATTTGGTATCAGTTTGGAGTCAGTTTGGCATAGTGGTGAAGTTGCTGGCCTAAAAATTAGGAGAATGTGAATTCTATTCCCACCTTAGCCATGAAATCCCACTTGGTGAGTTTGGGCCTGACTCTCTCTCTCAGCCCAACTCACCTCACAAGTTTGTTCTTGCGAGGAAAATAGGAGGTGTCTTGGATTATATTGGCCACATTGAGTTACTTATAAAGTAATAAATGTGGGATAAAAAAACCCCAGGTAAGAAATAAATAAGAAAGAATATTCTCCTTTTCAGCATCTGTGTAATGACTGATTGTAGCCCAGGCATATTGTATTATGTCCGTTCTTTTATAATTAAATATTCCAAGCCATTATAAACCAATATAGTACAAAATGAATAGCAAATTAACACGAGAAACAAAATTAAACAGAAATTATAAAAATCACTGGTAATAGGTTATCTTTTACTAGTACTTTTTGGAAGTCTTAGTGGAAAATAAGTGCAATATTGAATCATAACAAATTGTGAAAAGGTTTGCTCTGTAACTTGCTTATATGCAGTTAAATAATTCATTTTGAGTAAGCTAAAAGCAGAATTCTGCAAATGGTAAAAAATTATTCATTTTTCATGCATTTTAACTTTTGATCCTTGGATAAAGTTTAAAATTATTCTGTGGCAACTTTTGGAGGTGCTCTGGAAACCACAGTCCATGCAGAATGATGCCATAGGGTAGAATATCTTTTGTTTATATGTCCTGAGAAGTAAAATAAAGAATTTTAAAAAATGTGTAAGATCAAACTGAGAACATATCACAGATGTGAAATCATACCTTGGCAGAAACTCAGATTATACTATAAATAAAGGATTGCAGTACTCCCTCCTCTTGAGAAGTAGAAGGAATGTTGGAAGTAATTTTAATAGTTTTCTAGCCAGTAAATTAGAATCCAGTCTAATTCAGTATTGTGTTAATAGGAATCAAACTGCAGAATCCTGAATTACAATTAATTGTATGTTTTAAAAATTTTACTTTTTAACCATAGTATAGGGAATTAGGAAAGTGTGTACTTTTGAACTTCAAATTTCATATAATTTTATTGGCACAGGAAGTTTGGGGAAGAAAAATTATCCCTGCAGTGGTTAGTCTGTATAAATTGTTTTGTTATTAAAGAAATCGGAGAGAAAATGTGTTTCTTCCGTATTGTATTTCAATACCCACGTCATTTGTGCACATAAAGAATAAAGCTCAAACTTTCTTTATATTAAAAAGGAAAAGTTGCTTTTAGCTATTAGTTTTCCTGAATCCCAGGAGACGGGTGGAGCAGGATCAAAAATTCTTATTTGATCAAAGTTATTAGCTCTGAAGGTATTCTAACCTATGTAAGAAAGATGAAAGGTGTTGTTTTTATTGCACACTAGTAACAGTGTAATTTTGAACTAATTGGAGTTGAACTGCCAATCACCTACAGGGAATGCAAATAGATACTCCTACAATTTCCTTTGAGGTACTGAAATATTATGTTGGGACCGAAGAAAAACAAAATAATACTGTTAAATTGACCTTAAATGAGCTGCTTTGTGGTTTTCTTGGAGAATCCCTTCTAATTTTTCATGACTAGTCTGAACAAGTTCTGTCTACCAGTTTGATTTATTGGCCAGACAATGCAGTCATTAAACTTTTGAGCTTGTTTGAAATAAAGTTGAGAGCCCATGGTGCTTTGTATTACTTGCATTCAATAATTTGCTCCGTCTTCCAGAGATGTGATTTGATTGCTCTAAAATGTTGCTTCGTTCTTTGGAAATTTACCAGGATTAATTCTACGTTGCTATCATTTTTGGAGGTGTGGAGGGGTTAGTGGATGTTGTAAGGTTTATAATTTAAAAAAAGTTAAGATGAATATTAAGAATCCCATATAAGTGGTGAACATGTAAATTTAAGGCAGAAGTTCACAGTTGAGCATCCAAATATTTGGATATATAAAAGAATGAATTTAGTTACCATATGAAAAGTGAATTTTGTTTAGGTTTGTTTGAAATTTCAAAGAAGTCTCAAACTTTTTTTTGTCAGGATTTTTTAAAGCAAAAGTCATTTAATTAAAAAACAACAACACTGGGCCACACTTTCTGGTAGTTTAGAAATGGCTAAACAACTACCAGAGCATGTACCCTAGTTCTTTTTTCTTTTTTTAATTAAATGAATTTTGCTTATTTGTCTATTTTCCACCACATAACAAAACCACTTCCTTTAGCCCATAACTTTGTTTCATCTTAAGAAACTGTATTGTAATGGGAGTGAAAACTGTCATTAGAGCGCAAGATTTATACTTTACAGGAACATTTTCCTTACCATAGTCTATTTTTTCTCTTGTAGTTAGCAAAATGGTTGTGTACTACTGATGGAATATTTTAATAGAGGTATTTTTGTTTTGGCACAGGAGGATTTTCTGCAGTGGAGTATAATACAAAACAACTTGAGCAGGAATTGAATAATGTGAAGAGCATGAAAACAAAATTAGGTAATTGCTTCATTTGGAGGGGTATCTACTGTGCTTTAGCTTGGAGTAAAACCTCTTTTATTTTTGAAAATATCAGAAAAAGTATTATCTGCTGTTCTTACAAAAATTACTTTAGGCATATATTGTGGGGGGGAAAATCCTTTTAGTGTAATACTTAAGACATTCCAGAATGTCAACCCTCCAAGGTGGACCAGATCTGGAAACAGATTCCACAAGAAGACTAGAACTCTGCTATGTTGACAAAGTCTTGCAAATCTTTGTCTCCTCTTCTTATACCTGAGGGAATCAGGGAGTTTTTCCCCTCTAATGGCCCCTGGATTCCTTCTCCAAAGACATTTCCATGGCTCTTTACACCAGTATATTATTTTTATTTTGAGTACTGTTTCCTTATTTATTTATTTTTAAATCAGCATCATTTCTAACAGTAATGAAGAAAGGTAAAGGAATCCCTGCAGATTTTACTCCACTAGTTGTTGCTGACTATAGGGGAGGTAGTACTCATCTCCGTTTGAAGGCCATTGAGTCAGCTTTCAAAGACATTTCCATAGTCATGTGGTCAGCATGATGTCACGGAGCGCTGTTACCTTCCCACCGAAGTGATGCCTATTTATCTACTTTCATTTGTATGTTTTCGAGCTGCTAGGTTGGCAGGAGCCGGAGTGAGGACGGGAGCTGACCCCATCGCATAGTGCTCAGATCTCGAACCTGGGCTGCTGACTTTCCAGCTGACAAGCCCAGTATGTTAACCACTGATGGCCACCATGCTGTCCATAGTAATGGGACATGTGTAAAAATCAGAGTAAAATTATAGGAAGAGCCATGCCATGGCACATCAAAGAGCTGCTTAAGCAGCATTCTGTGTCTCATGTTAGGCTTTAGAAGACATTGAGACCACCACAGACATCACAGGAAGGCTTCTTTTTTGGTCGCTTTTCTCCTACAATCTGGAATTTAGAGACATAATGCTTCTGATGCTAGAAGTTTCCTACAAGCTTATCTTTCATACATTAGTGTTATTTCCCCATTTTAGACAGTAGCCACCTCATAATTGGCCCTACCAGGAGACATTCTTAATCGACTTTGTGTTCTATTCATATTTGTACTAAAGTGTTGTGTTTATTTTTACATTTTTACTATTATTAAATTCATTTGGTACCTATCTTGGGGTTCGAGACAACTCAGTTTTTATCTGATTTTGCAAGGAAGAATTCTTATGAAAAGGTATATTAAAAAATAAATGTTGTTGGGATGTTAGCTTTCTTCATACTGTCTGTGGAGATTCTCAGTTATCCAGGGTCGTGATTGTCCCAAAGGTGCTTTTTCAAGAGACAACTGGACTTTCTGGTTTTTCTTTGAAGACATTTTCACTTCTCATCCATTCCATTCCCCACCATCCAGTCAGAGCTGAAGAAGTTTCTTGGATGAGAAGTGGAAACATCCTCAAAGAAAAGCCAGAAGGTCCAGTTGCCTCTTGAAAAAAGCACCTTTGGGGTTTTCTTCATACTGTCTTTCTGCTATTACTTACCTCTATTTGTAAATAAAATAATTTAAGTCAGATTAGAAGAAATTCAAGGTATCTTGTCTCTTGTTGAGGTATTCCATTTTTGATTCCAGTCCAGGAGACCACATCTTTGAAAGATGTTCCATTTAAAGTGCTCACATGAAAAAAAAAGTGAAACCTTATTAGTGGAACTAATAAGAACTTTATTTAAAAAAAGAACCTTACTCAACTTTGGGGAGCAGATTTTTTCAGAATAATTTATTTAAGCCTCTACTACAGTTCTTTTCAGGCTTGACAACTTTAAGACATGTGGCTTTCAATTCCCAGAATTCTCTAGCCAGCATGACTGTCTGGGGGATTTGGGAGTTGAAGTCCAGACATCTTAAAGTCACCAACGTTGAGAAACATGGCTTTACTACTTACGCTGGGGAGTGGGAAGAATGTAGTGCGTAGTAGATGATCTGGTGCTGGCAGGATAGGATGTTTGAGCTGAAAGTACATAAATAGGCCAATTTGCTTTTGAAGTTTTAGTGGTCCATCTCACAGAATACTTGGACTGCTTTTGGTTGTTTGGCTAAGATTATGGCTACAGAGCTTCTAATTTTAAAAGGATTGTATGTATTTGTCTCAAGCCACCATAACATTTTCTCCTGTTTAAAGAGCGGCGGAAAAAGGCCTCTGCCTGGGAAAGGAACCTTGTGTATCCAGCTGTAATGATCCTACTGCTAATTGAAACGGTAAGCTCTAATTTCTTTACATTGCTTAAGACCCACCTGGCCTCTTGAAGATAGTAATTTATTCCAGGCACGTGTCTGAATTGAGTATCATTAAAAAAAAAAAAAGGAATTGCAGTTTGTCTCTTCTACGGTGTTTGTTAAATCTCAGGAGTGTTCAAGCCAATTGCTGCAAAATGGAGCAAACGGTTTTTGCACAAGCCTGCACCCATGCTTGGATTTTTTGCTTCTTCTTTTTCAGGCAATCTCAGTGCTTTTAGTTGCTTGCAATATTCTGTGTCTCTTGGTTGATGAAACCGCAATGCCGAAGGGGTCACGGGTAAGGTCTTTTTCTTTTGCAATATCACTAAGGGCAAATTTGATCACACGGTCTAGTTTACCACACTTAACAACTAAATTTCCCCAAAGAAATTTAGTTGCAAGTGAGCAAATTTGCAGATTTGGACCCTGAAAACCTTTAAAAAAAATATAATCTGCACATGCAAACACTATTTTGGTATTGTGGTTAAGCTTAGACTAGAAACGAGGAAACTGTGAGTTATATCCATCTTCAGGGACAGAATCCACTTGGGCCACTCTTAAGCCACTCACTCTCTCTCAGCCCTGGGAAAGAGGCAGTGACAAAACATTCTGTCAATCTTTGCAAATAAAATTGCATGGACTTGCCAGGCCGTTGCCAGAGTCAAGATTGATGAAAACGAACAAACAAAAAACGGAATATAATTAGCTACCTGTCTCTGGAGTTTCTCAGTCACCCAGGTCATAGTTGTCCCAAAGATGCTTTTTCAAGAGGCAACTGGACTTTCTGGTTTTTCTTTGAAGACATTTCACTTCTCATCCAAGAAGCTTCTTCAGAAAGTCCAGTTGCCTCTCGAAAAAGCACCTTTTGGACATAATTAGATTCTAGTATCTAATTAGGGGAACTGCTTTTAAAATTTCTCTAGTTCCCTCACAGCATTTTTAATCATCAAATTATTTGAATTTTTGTCGAATCCCCCCCCCCCAACTGTATTCTGATATAGCTTCTTTAGGTAAAATCCCATTTCTAATGCTGAAGCTTGCGATGATTATTATTGCCTCAATATTAGCTAATAAAAAATACAAACGATACACAATTGAATTGTCCAAGGTCATTCAGTCTTTTAAAAAAATGAGTAAAAGAATGGCATTCTCTGTCTAATACCTTTTTTTTTTAAATTCTTGCAGGGGCCTGGCATAGGAAGTGCCTCTCTGTCCACATTTGGTTTCGTGGGAGCAGCACTTGAGATCATTTTGATTTTGTATCCTTTCTTTCATGAGGCGTGCTTGTCTGTTAACAAGTATTCTGTCTAATTTTCTAGGAGGCTGCTAATTTACTAAGATGCCTGCTTAGTACAGAGAAAACAATAGGCCAGCTATTCCCAGGCACTCAAAGTGGATGTTCTTTCTCTCTTTCCCCCTCCTCCTGCATACTTTGCCAGGCTTAAAAGACCTTTAGGACTCTGAAACTTGCATTCTTTAGGAATTCTTTTTTTCCTTTAATTCTCACAGCTATCTTATGGTTTCCTCTGTTGTTGGCTTTTATAGCCTACGTATTTTTGGAGATTTTACCCCCAGGAAGGATGACACAACTATGACAAAGGTGGGTGAAAAAGCCTGAGATCCCGTTTTCTCCTCCCTCTTCTCCCATTTCTTCTACCAAAGCAAACCTGATTCTGTGAGAGAGTAATTGCATTCTGAACAGTAATTAGTTGTTTAAACTTTCATCAACAAACTTTCTGCTTAGTTGGGATAGCTTGGAATGCGTCGGAAAACGCCTGAAATTGCAGCTAGGTAGCCATAGAAAATCTGATGAGTCATTCTCCCACGCCCTTTTTTTGGTGTGTGTATGTGTGTCACTTGGTTACTACAAATAATATCAATAGATTCCTTTAATTTGAATGAATTAAGCGATTCTATTCAGCAATTCTCAATCTGAGACTGCTTTGACTTTCAGGAACTTACACAATTATAACCAACAGTTGCATACATGTTAAAAAGAGAGATCTTAAAAGTAGGTTTTCATAAATAGGGGAACATTACAAACAAGATGAATAGGAGCCAATTTCTTTTCCTCTTATTTTTTTTTCTGTTTAAAAAGGCATTCGAAGTAGGGGGGGAGGGTGAGATTTGCTTTAATCTTTCCAGGAATTCTCAGAAATGGGAAAGTAAACAGCCGTACAGAAGGCCCTTGATTAAACCAGTTGAGCAGTGCCATTATGTTTGCTCGGCCCTTTTATAATACAGCATTTTGAAAAAAAGAGAAATGGTAAGCCACATATTCTTCAGATTTTTCAATTTCTTTGTATTTAGAGCTCCTCTTGAAGGGAGATTTCAGCATTTTCTGATTCTTTGAAAGAATAATGCTATATCAGCTCCTGTTTGTTTATTGTAATTCTTTACATCCTTTAAGACAACAAACATTCTTTTACTAGCCTCAAAATTGCGCTTTGGAAAACAAGAGCAGTTGGTAAATTACTGCCTAGCTATAACCTGCCTGCCTTCCTTATTCTCCATCATTACATTAATATAATGTTCCTTGCATAAGCACCTGCACAAATGCAAATTTGGCTTAGAGGCCAGGTAAGGGCAGCTGTACACTCAGTTTTAAAGACTGGAGTCCAAAGTTCAATCAGTATCTATGAACATTATTAATTTTGCTTAGTTTTGAACATGCAAGCGAATGGTTTCTGGGGTGATGTGCTTGCAGGCTAGGACATAAGCAGCCATCTAAAACGTTTCTCCATTGGGCAATATAGATACAACTTGTGCCCCATATGAAGGTGTGCAATTGCCTTCCTTGTCACAGCTGCCACTGGCTCTTTCACTCTAAGTCCAATATTGCCTCATCTGTCTTATCCCACTGGGATTGGGCCACCCCATCTGTGATGGCAGAGGAGGCCTGCTATGGACCCCATCACCCAGGGAATTCTGGCTGGCACGGTCCTGGAAAAGGGCCTTCTCTGCTCTTGCACCTGCCCTCTGGAACATCTTGCCCTCCTTGGATGTCCATGCCAACCTCCTGGCCTTCATTAGAGCCTAAACACCTGGCTCTGACAGTTGGCTTGAGGCTCCAGAGGAGGGGCTTCATGTTGGAGGAGGTTGATAGATTAATATCAGACCCCACCTCCCTCCTGCATACCCCACTCTCTCCCTCCCAGTATCTTAGGTATTGCATTTTATATTATTATATTTTTGTAGTATTTTATTTAGGGTATTTTATCTTTTAATATTGTAAGAGTTGCCTTGTAGTAAGTTGGGCAGCCCATAAATTTGATAAATAAAATAAAAGTTTTTATCCTGTTGTGAATTTTTAGAAAATTTGATAAACCTAGTTTTACACTATTACTAGTAGAATGCTGCATAAGCCAAGGGGAGTTGAGGATTTGATGGTGGACAGAATGAGATAAAATATTGCTTTATATCTTCAGTTAAACATTGTCATTGTTATTTGGCAATTAGAAACTATTTGTTTCAACTGAAATAATTTTTTTTTTGTCTCAACAGATAATTGGGAATTGTGTATCTATCTTAGTCCTCAGTTCAGCGTTGCCAGTTATGTCAAGAACACTGGGTAAGGTTACAATCAGTCTTTTTACAGAATCTTGAACAAATTTAGATATCCCTTTTAAAGAAAGTACACTTTTAGAGAACAAAATGCTAATACTGAAGGGGGTACTTAATTATACAATCATGTTGCAGTTTGTAAAAAAAAGTTTCAGACTCAGTAATTTAAGTATATGAATCTTATCACCATGGAGTTACAGATATATAGACAGTTAATTTTTCCAATTTTGGTCCTGGTAAGTCCTTTGAACTAGTAGCAATCTAATTTGGCCTTGTGGTTAGGGTATTAAAGTATGAATGGCTAAGCCTGAATGTTAGTTCTGACTTGTGGAATGCAATAGCTAAGCTGGGTTTGATACCCAAATGCCACGCTATGGGATGAATTGTTATTACTCACTGCAGCTCCTGCCAACGTAGTACTATGAAAGCAGGCAAATGTGAGTAGATAAATAGGTACCACTTTTGCAGGAAGATTACTGTGTTCCATACTTTTGTGTTGGCACATAATGACGGAAACATCTTTCAGACAACGCAAGCTCCCTTGGCTAAAAATCAGAGATTAGCACTGCTCCTTTGAGTGGGCACAACTGAAGAAAAATTACAAAACCCTTTAGTTCTCTCTTAGGCATAGAAGCCATTAGTGTATGATTTCAGGCCAGTGGGGGAATAAGAATTATTGTTACCGCTGAATTATGGGTTTGTTTCCTGTCAAGGTTTTATGAGTGTTTGGGTTAAATTGTTATCTTGTTAAATATTAGCTACATTGGTCTCTCTCCTTGTCAAAAACTGAAATCCTATAGATTCATGGAAGTCTTGTTAAGATTTTAGTAAAATTTATTTTATATTATTTTTTGTGCCGAACCAAATATCAGAAATAAAGTAGGAAGTAAAAGCATACGAAAACAACAGTTGGAAAATAGCAAGGTTTTTGTGCTATAGTTGGAACATACAAGACAAAAAAATTCATTTCTATAACCCCTAATCCACCATAGAGAAAAACATCTGAGACTGATTTAGTCTACTTCTGGAAAACTCATTGCTTCTGGAGCTCTCAACTATTCTTCCTTTACTTATTTTTTGAAATCTTTTTTTGTATTCTTTATTGTTTTGCATCTTTGGTCACTGGATGAGAGGAAGGAAATCTTGCCTTACATTGATGTCAATTTCTCAAATATAACACTTTTTGCAAGTAAATTTCTATCATAGGCTGAAATCCAATACATTAAAATACCTAGTCTCATTGCTGTTTTCCATCCAATTTTGACTAACCATTCAAAGAGCGGTCAGATTTTTATCTCAAGAGAACCAAGGCCTGAGCTGATTAATTATCTCTTCATGTACCCTTAGCAAGTCTCTGTTGACCATTGTTGCCAGGTGAATAAAAATTTACACAGCCACAGCTGCAAAGCCTGCACCTTGCTGATCTCAGCAGCACAGAAATCACAGTTGTGATCCTTTCTATGAATGCTTATTGGATGTCGTGCACATGGTGGTATCTTGGTCCTTGGTCTCTTCTTTGATGAGGTACTAAAAAGCTGAACCCCACTGAAGCTTTGTTTGCCAGGTGTGTCCTTCAGCAAAATAGTGCCTCCTTCATAAGTCTGTTCCCATCCTGTTGAGGACTACTGTGATAAGCACTGGCTAAAGATATTCTTTATGAATCGTAGGGAAAGAAACATTGGACTTACTGTGAAATGGAGTGCTTGAATATTCCCCGTCTTAGCAAAGAAGATTTTTTATTGTTTTTGAATAGAGAATTATCTCTACAGTGTCTGTCTTTCATATCTGCATCACTTTTCAGTCCCTGAACTAGCAGAAAGGCTGCTCTCTTGTGCCACCTAGGGACTGCAAAAGAAAATACTCAGTCCTGCCTGTGAGAGAAGTGGAAAAAACAATCTATGATCTGTCAGTAAAGATCCTTCCTTCCTTCCTTCCTTCCTTCCTTCCTTCCTTCCTTCCTTCCTTCCTTCCTTCCTTCCTTCCTTCCTCCCTCCCTCCCTCCCT